ACCGTCACCATCATCACAGCTCCCATAGCCCAGGTTTCCCTTTGCACACCCCAGAGGGACCCGAGGTGATGGCTTTGGCCTGTTATTAATCTTGTGGCCGTGAGGCTGGCCACCTTGTGGAATCCTGACCGGGTCACAGCTGCTGGCCAGTCCCCAAGTCCTGGGGAGGTTTTCAATGCAGCTTTCTGACCCTGCTTGGAATGCGGAGGTTGGCTTCTATGCTTCCCTGTCTCAGATGATTAGAAATGGAATTTTTACTTAGGTAACTTCTCGTGACATACGGAGGGTTTTTCTTTCCACTGAGGATTCAGCTTTCAGTTCTGGCCCTGAGCTGCCTTGGGGACCCGGGGAGTAAGGGCAGCCCCTACCGCCTCCTGCAGAAGCTTCCTGACCCCTTTGTCCAGAGTTCCTCACATGCCCCGGGGCTTCTGTCTAGCATACAGGGCTGTAGCTTTGATTGCATGTTGACCCATCTCAGGCCAGACTCCTGTGGGTTGGGGGCACAGCCAGGACATGGATGCCGAACAGACCCCCAAGGGAAGCCCAGGCTGGACACGGGACCAGTGCAACCACAGCGTGTTGTGGTGGGGACACACCACAACAAACCACATGACTGTGGGGTGTGCCTCAGGCAGGGCTGGGATTCCCACCCAGTCCCTGCACTTCCTAAGCCTCAGCCCCCGGCTTCAGGCTGCATACTGTCCCTTCCCAGACCCATGCTGTCTCACAGCACATCTCTGTCAAGCACATTTGTCTCTGGAACTGCCCCCAGGGGCATAAAGGCCTCTCTAGCCCTGGACCCTGGGTTTGGGAAGACAGAGGTAGGGGTCTGCTCAGCAGATGGTGGGGCTGAGGGTCAGCCCTGGCCAGGAACCTCGTGGTCTGGTAGAAGAGGTCCTGGGAAGAATTGCATAATGGGAGGCTGCTGAGGGCACCCCTGCCTGTGCCCACTGAGGGCAGGGACTCACTTCCTCTGTGTTCCTAGAAGTGGGCTTTGGATTTGCCTCAGCCCAGGGCCCGGCCCAGAATGCAGGTCAGCAAGTGGGTGCTGAGAGAATAAGTGAATGAATAAATGAATTAACACATGAATGAAGAAACAGATGCAATACTATAGGACTCAGTGGAGGGGCAAACTTTTTCTAGCTGAGAGAATCAAGGCAGGCTTCCTGGAGGAGGTGGCACTGGAGCAGCTTCTAAAGTGGTACAGAATTTGGACTCCTAGGGATGAAGAAAGGGTGGCCCGCTAGGGGTGAGCAACAGCCCCCCAAGATCCACCAGTACACTCAGGGCTTTGTAAGGAGTCAGAGCAGCTGAAGCCAGGACCAGGCCTGTGGCTGAGGCAAATCCTCCTTATTCTCTCAGCAAACCCACCAGCTCTTGGACCTGAGCCCCAGTCACAGAAGTGGGGCAGCCCCGCCCTAGGGGGCTGGAGGATCGGGAGACTGGGGACCTGTTTCAACTGTCCTTGGGTCTCAGCTTCCCCATCTGTAGAATGGAGCACAGCAGGAGGCATCTCAGAGCACGGGGGAGATGGAGCGTGGGGAGGCATCTCGGAGGCCCCTCATTCTCCACTCTCACGGCGTGTTTTCCAGGGCTGATCCATAGGACTCCCTGGGAGAAATCCATTCCTGAGCACTCCTGGAGGCTTGACCTCGGCTCATCCTCCCAATAGGGCCTGAAGGAGGCTGGGAGGAGGCCCAGGCCCAGAGCAGTTAAGCAGCTTACAGTTCCCCGGGAGGAGCAGGGCAGCGGTGGGAGCAGAGAGTGCAGGTGGACGGGAGGGGCCCCTCCTGGAGGAAGAGATGAGTAAGCTTGAGTAAGCTTGGTGTTAGAGGCCTGCATTTCAGGGGCATTTTACAATCCTGACGGTCCCTTTCCTTGTTCTGGCAAACCAGACGTCACAAGGACAGCACCTGACGTTCCTGGTCCAGCCACAAAAGCCATGCTGCAGGGGAAGAGACTGGGGCCCCGGGCCAGGGCGAGGCCATGAGCGCTGTGCCTTTGGCCTTGAGTCTTGCCCTGTCTCCTCACTCTGAAGTCTCCAACCTCTGAGTTGCCCGAGTGGCTTTCCTTTCTGCTGCCTTGAGCCCTAACTCTGTCCCCAGTAAAGCAGTATTCAGAGCTGCCCTGGGACCCAGCTTGGTGTCCCCTCTGCTCTCCCTGACCAGGCTGTGAGCTCTGGAGGGCAAGGCAGCCGCCAGCCGGCTCCCAGGGCCCAGAGCAGGTGCCGGGACAGTCTGGGCAAGCAGAGGGGCTCGGTTCTTCGGGCTGCACATCATCTTCCACCATCTCTTCTTTCAGAAACGTGTGGTCTGGCAGAAAATCCCTGCTCTGTGTGTTCGACTCCAAAACCATCCTCTCGGGGGGCAGGGGGCCTCACTTGGCATTGACAGGCTGGAGCGGACTCTGAAGAGTCTGCTTTGCAGATGGTGGGGGTGGGGCTGAGGGGTGGGAGGGTGGCTCAGCCAGGCCAGAAGGTCCTCAGGGTCTCCTGCCCAGGTGGGATGCCAGGCTCTCCAGGCCCCACCATCCTCACCTCAGACCCCGCCCCCAGCTATACAGATGAGCTTCCTCCTGTGGACCCAACCCAGCCCTTCCCGGGAGCAGGTGCCACTCGAGGTTGCATCTCTTGGCTCAGGCTGCCTAGCAGGGCTTCTCAAACCAGGAGGCTTCCACAGGAGGAATTCACTGTCTCAGCCCGGAGGCTGGAAGTCCAGGTCAAGGTGTCAGCAGGGTTGGGTCCTTCTGAGGCTGTAAGGGCGAATCTGTTCCTGGCGGTTCGCTGGTATCTGTGGCGTTCCTTGGCTTATACGTGCATCACCCCAAGCTCTGCCTCCATCTTCCCCTGGCGTCTTCCCTGCACTTGTGTTTCTTGTCTGAATTTTCCTTTTTTATAAAAAACACCAGTCTTCTTGGATCAGGGGGCCACCCTACGCCACCATGATGACCTCATCTTCACTAATGACCTCCACAATGACCCTCTTTCCAAACCAGCTCACCTTCTGAGTCCTGGGGGACTTCAACATGTGAATTTGGGGGGAACACAATTCACGTACCATAACAGCGTGCCTCAAGGGAGAGGATGGGGTACAGTACCTCTTCTGGCCCAGAGCCAGGCAGATTCTCAGCAAAGTAACCTCCATCTCTAATCTCCACCCCTCCTGCCAGATACACGCAGGCAACAGGGGCTCTGGGAGGATGACACTGTTACAGAGAGGACACAGATGGCCTCTCCTAGCCTCCATTTCCAACTCCTATGGGAGACGGGGGTGATCACAGTCTGTAATCCTGTCCCCTCAAGGCCCAAGGCCTGTCTCGAGTGGCCCTGCTGATACCCCAAACCCAGGGCCTTTGCCCCAGCTGCCTCCTCACTGCCTCCACCCCAGGGCCTTTGCCCCTGCTGCGCCCTGGTCCGCAGCACTCTTTTCCAGAGAGGCACGTGGCCTCTCCCGCCTCACTCAAGGGTCTGCACAAACTCGATCTTCTCAGAGAGGCCCTCCTTACTGCCCTTCTAAAGCCGCCCCCCATCTCCCTTCTCTGAAGCACTCCGCAGCCACACCTTGCTTTACTTTCCTTTATAACATTAAAAAAAAAAAATTTATCGTGGTAAAACATACATTACAGGGAACTTACTACTCTAACCCTACTTTTTTTTTTTTGAGACGGAGTCTAGCTCTGTTGCCCAGGCTGGGGTGTGCAATGGTAGGGCTATCTCAGCTCACTGCAACCTCCACCTCCTGGGTTCAAGCAATTCTCCTGCCTCCGCCTCCTGAGTAGCTGAGACTACAGGCGCCTGCCACCATGGCTAATTTTTATATTTTTAGGAATGATGGTGTTTCACCATGTTGGTCAGGCTGGTTTCGAACTCCCGACCTCAGGTGATCCACCCGCCTCAGCCTCCCAAAGTGCTGGGATTACAGGCATGAGCCACCGCGCCTGGCCACCCTTAACCCTTTTGAAGCGGGCAGTCAGTGGTACTGAGTGAATACACGGTGTAGTGTGACCCTCACCTCCACACAGCTCCAGAACCATCTCATCTTCCCAAACTCTCACCCATGAAACACTCACTCCCCATCCGCCTCCCCCGAGCTCCTGGCACCCTCCATTCTGCTTTTGACCCGATGACAAATTCCCTATGAATGTGACTCTCCGAGGGACCCCATGTAGGTGGAATCTCACCCTCTGTTCTGTGCCTCGCCTAGTTTGGGCATAATGGCCTCTGGGTTCCCCCTGCTGGAGTGGGTATCGTAGTTTCCCTCTTCTGTAGGGAGAGAAATGTGCATTGTGTGAGGGATCACACCTACTGTTGACCCACCCTTCCCTTGATGGGCACGTGGGTTGCCTCCACCTTTGGCCAAGGTGAAGGATGCAGCTGGGAACGCGAGTGTGTGTGTATCTGTCCGGGTCCCTGCTTTCCACACCTTAGGATATGCCCTCAGAAGCCTGGAGCATTTTAAACATTCATTTGTTTGCGTGTTGTTAGCCTTCCCGAGTAGAACACAGAGACTCCAGGGAGGAACCGTTTCTGTTTCATACACTGCTGTGTGCCTTGTGTCTGGGAAGCTGCCTGGCTCCGTGCATACTTGTGGAGGGGTTCATGGAAGTCACCATGAACCCCCTCACCCTAGCAACACGGCAGAGGACCTGGGTCCTGGAAGCCCCTCAGGTGGCCGAGCCAGCCTGGGCGTCCTCACTTCTCCAGTTCTGGTGCCTGCCCGCTGGCATCTGCCCACTGGTCATTTCTACTACCTGAGCCATCCATCCTCCTTTGATTAAGTCCCATTTTGCCATGAAAAGAAAAGGAGGTGACAGTTGGCTTGTGGGGGAAGGTCATTCATTCCAGAAGGGTAGTTGGATGGCGGCGTCTCCATCGTCCGTGCCTGGCCCCTGTTCCTGGCAAACTCCCTCTCCTGCCTGCTGCCCACCTGCCCATCCCCCGCTGTGGGCAGCAAAGCCAGTGTCAGGCGAGGCAGCCCACATACCAGCCTCTCCTTGAACAGGCAGCTCTGGACGGATCAATGCCAGCCAAACGATGACCAGTTGTGGCCAGCAGTCCTTGAACGTGCTCGCCGTCCTCTTCTCGTTGCTGTTTTCTGCAGGTAAAACCTCCGTGGATGCTGTGGGTGGGGGCGGCATGGGGAGGGCATGGTCCCTTCCTAAGGTTCGTGCTGGCCCAGCTGGGGTTCTGGGGGCACACAGAGGCTTGCCTTTAGTCCTCCACCTTACTGATGCCCTCTGGTGAGGAGGTGCTGTGTGGTTGGTCTCTGCCTGTCTCTGTCTCTCTGTCTCTGTCTCTCTGCCTCTGTCTGCCTCTGTCTCTCTGTCTCTGTCTCCGTTGTGCACCACAGTCCTGAACGTGCCGTGGAGCTCACCTGGCTGCCAGGACCCTTGGGAGAAGCCCTGACTCGCATTCTCTCCTTCGCCCCTGCGAGACAGTTAGGCAGTGTCCCAGTCATCCCATTTTATAGATGAGGACACTGAGGCCTGGAGAGGGAGCTGACTTGCCTGGGACAACGCAGTTAGTGGATTCTAGCCCGACTGGCCTCCTGGGCTGTCCCTGGGTTTCCAGCTTAGGTCACAGGCAGGCTTCTGCTCTTCTGGTTACAAGGATGATTGGCACAAACGGAATCCCCTGCACCTCCCAGCTAGACCTGAGCAGCCCAAGGGCAAGGGCAGCCCTGCACGCCAGCCAGGGCCCGCTCCCCCAGGAGCCCTCTCCAGCTCTCCGGCTTCTGCTCCCTGTCTCTCTGTGTTTCTGGGTCTCTGTCTCTCTTTCTCTTTCTGTCTCTGCATCTCTGTCTCTCTGTTTCTGTCTCTCTGTCTCTATCTCTGTCCCTCTGTCTCTGTCTTTGCGTCTCCGTGTCTGTGTCTGTTTCTGTGTCTGTGTCTATCTCTGTCTGTCTCTCTGTTTCTGTCTCTCTGTCTCTGTCTCTCTCTGTCTCTGTCTCTCTGTCTCTGTCTCTCTGTCTCTGTTTCTGTCTCTCTGTCTCTGTCTGTCTCTGTCTTTGTCTCTCTGTCTCTGTCTCCATCTGTCTTTCTGTGTCTCTGTGTCTGTATCCATCACTGTCTCTCTGTGTCCATGTCTGTCTCTGTTTCTGTCTCTGTATGTCTCTGTCTCCATGTGTCTCTGCACCTCCTCATGCCGGTGTGTTCTAACAGTGTCACTGACACCAGGCTGGTGGTTTGCAGCCCCCACCCCTTTGCTGGGGGCAGCTCAGAGGGAGGCTATGAGGGTGTCTGGGGGTGCTTGGCAGGGCTCCCCAGACAGCAAAGCCAAAGCCACACCCAGGCCAGGGGGTCTGGGGGCCACCCAGCTGCTCTCTGCACCCCAGGTGCTTCCCATGTTTTGGTTCACCTGGTCCTCACTGCCCTTAGAGGATGAATCCACTCAGCCCATTTTACAAATGAGGAAGGTCAGACTCAGAGAAGGAAAGTAGACGGACGGAGGTCACGCCTCAGCCGTTGAATGAGGGCCATCCAGGTGCAGGAGTTACATGGAGCTCTGCACACGGGGATGTGTTCATGGTTGAGGCCTGGGGCCCAAATGCGGCTGTCTTCTTAGTGTCCCTGCTCTGCTGGGGCTGGCCTCCTAACAGAGCATCCCTCGGCCTGGAGTCACGCCGCGCCCCAGAACAGAAGCCCAAAGATGCTGCCCTTACTGTCCCGAATGCACGCACGGCCTCTAGCTCTAGGTGGGGGCTGCGCCTTGCCGTTCACAAAACGCTCTGGGAGCCCTCAAGCCCCCTGAGAGACCATTAGTCTTTCATCAGTGAGGAGAGGAGGCCAGAGAGATCACAATGGCTCAGGCAGTCCCCTGCCAGGACTCCCACCCACTTGTCCTGGCTCCCAGCCCAGGGCACTGTTGGCTCTGGGGAAGCAGCCGGGGAAGCCTCATCATTACCAAATGGCTAAAGCCTGTGGCTCTGACTGTCCAGTGGTGGCCGGGTGAGCTGGGTGCTGGTACTGGGTGAGCTGGGTGCTGTTACCAGGTAGGACCCTTTCCATCCCCTCACCTGGCCGGGCCTGCCCTCCCCTGCCCCCAGCTCTGCACATCAGCCTCCTCCCAGTCCCTCAAGGCCCAGCTCAAAGGCCACCTCCTCCATGCTGCCCTGCCGCTCTGTCCCTTCCCTCCCTGAGTCCTGTGGTAGCCTCATGGGCTGCTCATGGGGCCTGAGCTAGACTTTCTGACCACCTGGGCAGTGGCCCAGACAGTGGCCGAGATGGGCCAGCTGCCTCTGCCCCTGGCCTCTAGGCTAGAGGGTCCCAAACCCTAGCCCATCAGCACCTCCTGAAGCACCTGCCAGGACAGATGGCAGGGCCTACCCCGGAGCTTCTGATTCAGAAGCTGGCCTGAGAACTGCATTTCTGACAAGAACTCTGGGGATGTCCTTGAGGCAGATCGGGGGCCACACTTGGAGAGCTGCTGCTCTGAGCCGCAGTGCTGTCCCCTGTACCGTGGGAATAAGTTGGGTGCTTTGTTCATAGCCTCTGCATCCCCAGAGGGTGTCCTTCTTTCTTAAGGTTGAGAATGACCAGGGGAGCCAAATCATGGGAAGCACCTGGGGTGGGGAGAGCAGCTGGGTGGCCCCCAGACCCCTGGCCTGGGCATGGCTTGGACTTTGCTGTCTGGGGAGCCCTGCCAAGCCCACTACCAGCACCCAGAAGCTCCCCCAGCCCCCCAAAAGCTGGGACCTTTCTCTCACAGTGGTCATGCCCATCTCCACAGAAGAGAGTACTTTCTGTGGGGGAAGGGATGTAGAATTTCACACACCCCCGCCCCCGGGCAGCCTCAGCACCCCGGCGCGTGAAGACCGCCTGCCCACCTGCCAGCCCAGCCCAGCTGGGACTCCCCTGCGGCAGCCCTGGGTGGGCAGGCGGGGACTGTGTGGGCTGCAGTCTAATAACCTCTCCGCAGACACAGAGCTTTCAACGAGCTGGGGGAGCTCCTGCAAAACCAGTGCCTTTGTGGTTGAAGGAATGTGTTCAGCCAGCGAAGCCCCTTTTCAGCAATACAAATTAGATACAGCGATCTCTTTTATGAAGATACTAATTAAGCCTGAGACAGCAGCTCTAGGATTTTTCCATTGTTACATTTGTTCAGGCTTTCAGTCCTGTTTATCACCATTGGCATGACGCGTAAATATCGTCCTGGCCTTGCAGTAGCATTGGGGGCTGAATGGGGACCTCCGCCCGTGAGCAGAGAGGTAGGAGGGCTCTAGGCTGGGGCAGTGCTACCACTGTGAGGCAGGGGTGACCGAGGCAGGATCTTGGGGACCTTGGGGTCTAGGGTGTTCATTTAGTAGAAACCAAGGCACGGAGGGCCTGCTGTTTTTGACACAAGAGGTACCCAAGAGGTCCTTGCACCAGTGCCAGCCACCGCCCCCGGCCCGGGCCAGCCTGGGCTTAGCAACAGGCCCACCATGGCCAACAAAGAGCTAGCAACAGAAGACTGGAGAGGGCCCCAGACTTCGGATCCAGGCCTGGGGTCCATTCCTGCCCCTCCAACACTTAACTCGGACCAGTCACCTTAGCTCTCTGAGTCTCAGCTTCTCCATCTGTAAAGTGGGATCTCAAATTTTCTTGGCTGTGTGAGTCAAATGAGATGGGCCTGTGAGGCATACAGTAGATGCTCACTTAAGGCTGATTTCCTAATTGAGTGCCTGCTGCATGTCAAATGTGTCCACCGAGGCAGGAGAGCCAGCCCTGCCCTCCAGGACCCCCAGTCTGGGTGACGCAGAGAGTAACCAGGGCTGGGGAGGGTATAACCAGGGAGGGAGGCTGGGGGTAATGGGAGGCCAGAGAGGAGGCTCACAGTGGACCACAGAGTTCCAGGGGAGGGAAGAAGCAGGCAGGACCCTAGAAGAGGCAGGCCAGTCCCCTTTCCTCTTGGCACTCATGGACTGGCGAGGGACCCCTCTGAGCCCAGTGACTCTGTCTTCCAGTCTTGTCTGCACATTTCCGGGTCTGCGAACCATACACAGACCACAAAGGCCGCTACCACTTCGGCTTCCACTGCCCCCGGCTCTCGGACAACAAAACTTTCATCCTCTGTTGTCACCATAACAACACGGTCTTCAAATACTGCTGCAATGAGACGGAGTTCCAGGCGGTGATGCAGGCGAACCTCACGGCCAGCTCCGAGGGTTACATGCACAAGTGAGTGCCACGGGGGTGCGGGGGGGTCACAACCCCACTGCCTCGGGCCCCAGGCAAGGCAATCTGCCTCCCAAAGTCCCATCACCTGGGAAGGCAGTTGGATAACCACTACCAGGTTAGATGGGCCTGGAAGGAGGCTGGGAGAGTCTTCGGATGAGCAGGGCTTCTGGCCTATTGTGCCTTCTAAGCTTCAGCCTTCTCATCTGTGAGAAATGGACACAGGGACCCATGCCTGTAATCCCAGTACTTTGGGAGAATGAGGCAGGTGGATCACCTGAGGTCAGGAGTTCGAGACCACCTCGTCAACATGGTAAAACCCTGTCTCTACTAAAAATACAAAAATTAACTGGGCGTGGTGGCAGGTGCCTGTAATCCCAGCTACTCAAGAAGCTGAGGTAGGAGAATCACTTAAACCCAGGAGGTGGAGGTTGCAGTGAACAGAGATCGTGCCATTGCACTCCAGCCTGGGAGACAAGAGTGAAACTCCATCTCAAAAAGGAAAGAAAGAAAGAAAAAATAGACACAGAATACTCACTTTGCAGGGCTACCACAGAAGCTAAGTGAGGTTAAGGATGTCAAAAGCTTTTAGGCACAGAAGGCGCCTTGGCCTGTAATCTACTGGGCCCAGGTTCCTTCATTCATTCTTCACTTATTCAAGAAATACTGATTGACACCATTGACCCAGAGATTAATCCCATGCAGTTCTTCTCCTTAAGGTGATTAAAATACATTGGGATCAGGGACCTGATGGAGGGGACGACAGGTGTGGAAAAAGAGAAAGAGTTTGTGGAAAACTCATGAGAACATGCTAAGTAAAGTCATGGGGTTTGAAAACAGCATGCCTTTCTCTATTATGAGTGATGCTGGTCATCTTTTCACATGTCTGAGAGACATTTGTGTTTCTTTTACTGTGAGCTAGCTGTTTATGCCTATTGAGCTAGCCATTTTTCCATTGAATTTTTGGTCTTTTTCTTATTTATTTATGGGTGCTTTTTACATATTAAGGAAATATGATGAGTTGCAAATATCTTACCATCTTCTCATTGTTGGATGTTTTCATACCAATGTTTCTTCAGTGTGACTTTGACTTTATTGTGCTTTTTCCTCATGTTTAATTTTTAATTGTTTTGTAATCACATTTTATCAATTTTGTTTTTCTTTTATGGCTTCTGGCTTTTACATCACACTAAGAAAGACTTTTCCTCTTCTGAGGTCATTAAAAATGCCACCATGTTTTCTGATTCTTTTACATTTTAATTTTTTGTTTTTAAGTATTTGAACTATCTGGAATTTACTTTGATGAAAGTTTTAAAGTAGGAATTAAATTTTATTTTACTTTTTGAAAATGGGTAGCTGGTTATTCCAACACCATTTATTAAATGGACCTTCTCTTTTCCCCTGAAATGAAATGCAAACTTACCAAATACCTTAATATACAGAATATGAGTATTGAGATAGAGCGTGATGCGTACTTGGCTTTTGTTGCTCTGGGTATACGCTAGGACCTCACTGTGTAAACTACTGTGACTTTTAATACATTTTAATGTCTTAGCAGGCTCTCCCTGGCACTTCTGTCATACAAACTTTAGAATTAGCTGTGCAGTACCCCTACCTACCCCAAAAAAATCCAGTTAGTATTTTTTACTGAGATCATATTGAATTCATAGGTCAATCCAAGGATGACTTTTCATGATGCTGAACATTTCTATACAAATGTCTTTCCATTTGTTCAAATTTTCTTTCCTAGCAATTTAGAGATTTCTTTGTGTATATATTAGATGTATATTTTGCACTAATTTCAAGTTGTTTCTTTTCATGTTTGATTGGTATTTCCTTCCACTATATATTGTTAAAAGCAATGATTTTGAGACAGAAATTTTGCACTCAGCCACCTTACTGAAATTCCTTTTTTTTTTTTTTTTTCAGTTCTTTTAGGTTTCCAATTATTCCACTTGCAAACAATGATAATTTTATCACCCTGCCTTGCCACTTTTGTGCCTCACTTCTTTTTCCTGTCTGATTGCATTGGCTAGTGCCTCTAAAACAGCCTTTAGAATTGTCAGGTTCCTTATCTTCTTCTGATTTGAATGTGATGCTTCAACTTATTTTCCCAATAAGCATGAGGCTGAGTTTTAGGGGCAGATGTATTTTTTCATGCTAAGGAAAAATCTTCCTGAATGGGGCATTTGTTGAAGGGAGGTGGTGGGTTGGGGGTGTGAGCCTTGATCTCTATCTGATGTTGGAGCTGAAGGGCTTTGCCACCATGCTGCACTCACTCAGAGGGAAGCTGCCTCTTCCAAACCTCCCCACCTCCCACCTAGGCCAGCTCCCCAGCCTGCCTTCCTCAAATGCACGGGTGCTTCCCCTGAATCTCTTGCCATCTGCTCAGCCCTTAGAATAATTCTGTGTGTGAAGTCGCTCAGCAATCCCTGTCCATCACATCAGGGCTGGAATCAGGTCTGGGATTTGACCCAAGCCTTCTGAGACAAGGAACTGATTCCCTGAAGGAGGAGGGTAGTGCCAGGACTGGGGTGAGGGCCCTGTCATGTTGCAGGTTCTGGCAGAATGCCAGACAAGGCTTGGCAAAACAACCAGACTTCTCCAAGGTCTGGTGACTGGTGTCTGGGATCCTCATGCTGAAGCCCACAGGTTTCTATAATCTGCATATTTGCACAGGATTTCACACGGAACGCTCCACTCCACAGCACAGGGGGTCCTGGCGGCTGCTGATGAAGAGCCAGGCTGCAAAATAAAGGCCTCCCCTGGGGAGAATGCGAGTATCGAGGATCAGAATTTTAACTTACATTTTAATCCTTAGCTGGAAGAAGTGTTCTCGGGGCACATAATTTTGCTGAGTCTCTACGCTCAACCCTCTCCTCATCAGGCCACTGTGGCCACCTGGCAGCCCATCCTCAGCCCATTTTACAGATGAGGAAGGGGAGGCACAGAGAGGTTGAGTCACTTGCCTGATGAAGGCAGCGGTTAGTAGCAGAGCCAGCAGCCAACCCAGACGGTCTGGAATCATATTACTCGTTCTGGAGCTTCTACCCACAGAGGCAGATCCGACTGGGGAGAGGGCCCCTGAGCGGGGATCCCACCCCAGCACCACTGACATCTGGGGCCGGGTCGTGCTCCATGTGGGGCCCACTCTGTGCATTGTGAGATGTCTAGTAACCTCCTGATGGCCTCCACCAACCCGGTGATAAGCAGCAATGGCTCCTGACAGTGCCAACTGTGGGGGCACAGAATCATCTCCAGCTAAGCTGCTGCCCTGGGGAGATCCCATCCCTTGTCATTCTCCAGCAGTCCCCTCACCACCTTCCCTCTCCATGGGTGTGAGTCCGGAGCCCACACAGAGGAGGACGTGGCTCCCACTCCTCCCGCAGGCCTCTCCTGTCATAGGTGCTCCTGCGCAGGCAGGCGTGATGCTTGATTCTTGAGACCTGACAGTGTTTAAGAAGGTGGCAGCCCCACACCCCAGAGGAAGGAGCACTTTGGGCAGAATTCTCTGCAGCCCAGCGGAAAAGCAAGGGGAACAAGACAAGAAACAGCAGGTGGGGGCAGGGGGGTCCTGTCTAGCCTGGGAGGTGGGGTGGATAGACTTTCTTCTGAGCCCATCAAGCGTCCCTGGAGGGCTTTAGCTGGCTTTGTGCTGCATGGGCCATGCCTGGGATAAGGCCCCAGAGGACATAGTGTGTCTGCAGGGCAGGAGACAGGAAGGCGGCCTAGGCCAGACCTGGACCCCACTGAGGGGAGCTGGAGAACTCATGGTCAAAGGTCATGGAAGTCGCTTCCCAGCTGCACAAGTTCAAGGACCTTGGGGAGAGGACCCAAGCCCAGGGAGCTGAAGTAGGGCTTGCTGTCCAGGTGGGGCTGGCCTAGTGGCAGACAGGATGACTTGAGGGTGGGCCTTGAAGATGAGCCTTGGGGAGGAGGAAGCTGGGCTGAAGTCTCGAGTCATTGAATGGGTAGGAGAGGGCCTGCATGTGCAAGGGGACCCAGGTAGAGTCCACCTCTGTGCCTGTCCTGTGCTTTGGGGCTCTGGCCACACAATATCACAGGCTCCCCTGGGTAAGACACCTGTGGTGCCCCTTAATCCTCACCATGGGTGGAGGGAGGGGCTGGAGCCCAGGCTGGGGAAGTCACCTGTCCCAGACCACATGGGTGTCAAGGCCTGAGAGGCTCTGGAGCCCTGGTTCTGCCACCCCCTGGTGCATCTAGAAGGCCAGGACTTCTGTGCCACTGGGGACTGTGCCAGATCTCAGCCAAGAGGCTGGACATTCCCGTATCCTAGACAGGTTAGCACTTGCTAGCAGCCCATTGAGATGGACCAGGCCAGTGTGACTCCCAAAAGGGGCTTTACACAGATGCAGAGCTCCTGGTCCTCCCGCATCCCCCACCCCCACCACAGCTCTCCCTGCTGGTGAATCAGCCAGGAGGTGGGGCTGGTAACAGGGAAAAGGAGAGCGCTTCTGACTTATTTATTTGTTTTTTTCTGGAGGAACAGAACGGTTTGTTTTGGTTCTGGCTGCCTGGCAGGAAGGCAGAGCGAGAGCAGGCAGCCTCGCCAGGCCCACCACCATGGCGAGATGCCTGCTTCCAGCCACGTGGGCCGTAGAGAGACTGCGGAGAGAGGGGTGGGGCAGAGGCCCCAGTGTGCTGAGAAGTGTACTGCATGCCTTTCCATGCCAGGGTGCCACCAGGCACCAGCAATGGTGACTCAGACCCAGGCCCCTGAGCAATCTGTGTAAGCCTCTGTTTGGGGGTCCTGGTGGCCAGGCTGTGTGGGGGATGTGGTCACTTCTCTCTGGGGACAGTGAAAGTGTCTCTGGAGGAGGTGGCTGGGAGTGGCATCCTCCACCATGCATGGGCGTTTCTTCGCCAGGCAGATGGGCTGCAGGGGGTGGCAGCGGGGGAGAGACTCTAGGAAGACAGAACGGTGCACCCAAAGGCCTCAGCTTGTGCAGGCATGCCCTGTTGTCCCTCCCTTGGCCACACATGAAATCTCTGACCCCCAAAGCCCTGCCCTTCCCCAGGGAAAGGAAATGAATGAACACTTATGAGGACTTCCTCCAACACAAGGGGTCTGACTCACGCTGACGCCTTTCATCTGTTATCTATGAAGGATCTTCCACTTCCACAAGCCCCATTCACTAGGGCTGAGGCCAGAGAGGGTGAAGGCCTGCCTGCAGCCATGCAGCACACAGGGGACACAGCCATATTGGCCATCCTGAGCTCAGTTATGCTGAGAGGAGGAGCACCCTCAAAGGCTCCGGGAGCTTGGGAAGCAAAAACTTCCTTTTAGCTCATGCTCTGGGTCCTTCTTGTGCTCTCGTGGTTCTGTGCGTAAAGCATCCTGTGATGAGGCTGGAGAAGCAGGTCCCATCCTGGGCAGGATGATGGCCTAGCAGTAGAGAGAGAAGGCAGCGGTGAAGCCACACACGTCGTGTCTCTAAGCTTCTGCTCAGATGTGGCCATAGCATTTTTGCTCATGTTTCATTGGCCAAAGTACGTACATCACTTGTACAAGCCTGTTACCCGTGGGGTGAGGAGAGACAGAGGGACTGATGCTACTGGGAATGCCCTCAGCCAGGCGCAGTGGTATTTTGGGAGCAATAGACTCTGCTTCACCAGGTATATCCAGGCCCAAAGCCCACACACCATCACTGCACTGGACAACCTCGATCCTGCTGTGTGACCATGGACAAGGCACTTTGCCTCTCTGGGTCTAGACCTATTAAGCACTCTCTCTGTGCCTTAATCACATGAGCCAGTACTCCTGGGGTCTGTCCTCTCTGTCCAGACTCTCACACTATCTCACAGCCACACCATGAAGTAGGGGGTCTGGGTATCCCCATTTCACAGACAAGGAAACTGAGGCTCAGTTTCCCAAAATCACAAAGAGAGAATTTTGCCGAGCTAAGATTTGAATTCACACAGCCCTGACTTCTTGAGCTCACACCATAGTTGCCAAGGTCATCCGCCTTGTCTCATGAACCGGAGGCTGCTCCTGCCAGTGGGCGCCATACTCCCTTTTTTTTTTTTGAGATGGAGCCTGGCTCTGTCGCCCAGGCTGGAGTGCAGTGCCGCAATCTCAGCTCAGTGCAACCTCCGCCTCCCAGCTTCAAGCGATTCTCCTGCCTCAGCCTCCTGAGTAGCTGGAATTACAGGTGTGTGCTACCATGCCTGGCTAATTTTTGTATTTTTAGTAGAGATGGGGTTTCACCATATTGGTCAGGCTGCTCTCTAACTCCTGACCTCGTGATCCAACGGCCTTGGCCTCCCAAAGTGTTGGGATTACAGGCGTGAGCCACCGCACCCGGCCAGTAGACAAGGTTGGCGGAGGAGCCATTGGCCATCTTCCAGCTGAGCCAGTGTCTTGTTCTGACCTGCTGGCCTCAGGAACTCTCCTCCTCCACCCTCCAACGTGACTTCCTGGTGGGGTGGTGATGGGGACTTCCAGCCCACACTGGTGGCCGCTGCTCTTCCTGCTGATGGATCTGCTCCTGTGCCCCGGCAAGACGCTCAGTGCGGGTCCTCCATCAGAGGAGGTTTTGTTTACTGCTTGGAAAACACCAAAAGAATTTGAATCAGTAAATATCCCAAAATACTCTAAAAAAATTCGTGATCTGCTGTCTTGGCTGCCTTCACCTCTTGCTCCATAAACCAGCCTTTGGTGCTTCACCTTCTGCCATTTACAGAACACACACCCACACAACAAAGACCCCTGCATCTGGATGGAGTTAATTTCTGGGTCACATATTTTTTATTACATTTCTGAAATGTTTTTAAAGACCTGAATCTTCCCAGTTGGTCGACCATAGGGAGGGCTGGCCATGGACGGCTAGGGGAGTGGCTTTAGGATGGTGGCTGTGACCTGGGCTTCCCCGCCTGCCATCTCCAAGGTGGTCACGTCACAAGGAAGGGCGAGTCAGCAAAGGCAGCACCTCCCACAGGCAGGCCCCTCCCTTCCTGGACACGGAGGATGAGCTGGGAGGGCTGGGCATCATGTCATGTGTCAACTCCAGCAAGCTGGCTGCAAATGCCGGGAGCCGGCAGTGCACTCACACACGATGACAGTGACACACTGATCTGCAGGATGCCCAGAGGAGGGAGGACGGGGACTCGCCCTTGGGGTTCCTGGTAGAGGGTAGGCCAGGACAAGCGGGCACACCATGCAGGTGCAGGGGACCCCTCTCTGAACATCTAGCCTAGAATGGACCTTGGCCTTACCCCAAGATTAGCTCATCTGAGGTCAGATGGACCTGGTTCCAACTCCCAGCACTGCCACTCACCAGCTGTGTGGCCTTTGGCAAGTGACTTTGCCTCTCTTGGTCTTATTTCCTCGTGTGTGACATGGGGACAGCCGCTCCTCCCTCATGGCGCTGTTTCAAGGGTTCCAAAGCACAGGGCACTGACGCATGACGATTGCCAGCATCTATATTAGCTGCTGGTGCACAGACATGCCGGCTATAAACTCCAGTGAAGTCAGTACCAAAGCGGCCACTGTCACCAGCTCAGCCCCGGCTCTCAGGATGTGTTGGTGTCAGTATTCACAGCCTGAGGCTGAGTGCTGGGCTCATAAAGACAACTTGAACCGGTGCTCCGCCCTCAGGGCCCTCCCAATATCCAGGGCCAGACAGTCCTACCAAACAGCAAAAACAGCAGTGTGTTCTGGGAAATCCAGCAGCTTTGGGAATGCAGGGTAGAGGTTGGACTGACACAGGGCATCAAGGAAGGCTTCCTAGAGGAGGTGATATCTGGGCTAAGACACAGCACCAGGGCCAGCTGGGTGTGTGGAAGGTAGTCAGAGGTTCCGGATGGAGGTGCAGCATGGACAGAGTCCTCCAGGAAGGAGTGCTGTTGGGCTGGAGGCAGCTTTTCTACCCTGAGAACCCAGGCGGCCGAAGCCAAGGCAGTGTGGTGCAGTGGTTAGGAGCGCAACTCTAGAGCTCAGCTGCTGAGTTCAAGTACTGGTTCTGCCCCTTAATGGCTGTGAGCTCTTAGGCAAGTCTGTTTAATTCCAGTGAGCCTCAGTTTTCTGTCTGTAAAGCAGGGATAACAATGATGAAAAACTCTTTCTTCCTGTGGTTGCGTGAGCATGAGATGGGCTAACGTGGGAAGCAGGTGGGGGAACGAGCGTCCGCTGCCGCCTCTGGTAGTTACTTCTTGGCCCAGTAGTTCCAGACCCACAGCCTGCGGCCCAGCCACAGCCCCAGCTGGCATCCCGGACCCCTTCTGTGGACAGCATCTGTACACAGCTGCCCAGCCTCCCCTTCCCCCGTCTCCTCCTTCAGCCCCCGTGGCTGCTGCCATGGGAACCACCGAAGAAAAACCTGCCACTTAGAGCAATTCTGTGGGGGCTGCAGGAGGGAGGGTGCTGGGAAAGCGGGAGGCCTGGGGACTGGAGCCAGGCCAGCCTCCTCTGTCTGCGGGGACAGCTACCCTGGGGATGCCTGCCCCAGCATGCTGGATGGGGCCGCAGGCCTTTTTTCCCTGGAAGGAATTTCACATCCAAATGCCTCCAGGAAAAGTGAGCTTCTCTTTAACAGAAGGCAGCTGGGGCCTGGCTGGCAGTCATTTACACCTGAGCATGAACGAGCCCATCAGTCTCTTGCAGACTTCATGGCGGTAGGGGATGGGAGGCAGCGAGGACCCGCGGTGACCGGGAGCTGTGGGATTACAGCGGCACAGCCTAGGCACCAGCCTGTGGCTGCTCATGGGACGTGCTCAAGACATGCAGAGGCCTCCCATCCAGCAGATCCCAGGCACCCGAGCAGCATCTTCAGGCCAGCAACTTGGCCAAGTGAGGGGAGGGAAGGCTTTCCAGGCAAAGGGCGAATCTGAGCTTCCCCAGCCCTGGGCTCTGCCCTGGTCAGGGCCAGAGGAGCCGGCGGGAAGCAGCCCCCGTCTTCCTACAGAGGCTGCTACTGGCGCCGGGGCTGACCTAAGCCTGGGAAGATCTGGAGCCTGGAAGCTGAGACAGGGAGAGGCCTCCTGCTCATCTCCTCCAGGTCCAGAGACAGGCAGGGGTTCTCCCAGGCCACACAGCAAACCAGGCAGAGGAAGAATTAGAACGAGGGGTCCAGGCTGGCACCTGTCCTTAGCCTCAAACAGGGTCTTGAAGGTTGTGCTGCCCCTGAGAGCTCAGCCTGGGCAAGAGGCAGACGGGTCTCTCCCTGGGGAGGTGCAGTGGCAGCGTGTGCAGGCTGGACACTGGCTCCATTCACGCCTCCTCGACACCGAAGCGCACACCCACCCAGGCACATGCCCGCAGCAGGGAGCAGCCGGAGTGATTAATAGAGCGGTATGTTCAGGCAGCCGCAGCCCCTGGCACGTACTGTTAGGACTCAGCAGCTCCCACTGCAGTGGGAAGCCCAGGACACCGTCCATCTTGGGCACGCGGAGACTTGGACCCTGGCCTTGGGGAAGGGCGTGGGAGACAGATGTGGCTCTGGGTGACGAGGGCTGGGTTTGAGGGGAAATCAGGACTGTGGGCCAGAAGAGGGGCTTGTCCCAGCCCTGTAGAAGGGTCAGGGTGTCCGGAAGACTTCCTGGAGGAAGTCGTCTTCAACAGAGGGCTGGTGGGAGGAGGGGTCAGGGAAAGAAGGCACGGCCTGTGCTGGGAGCGCAGAGCCTCTCTGCAGTGGAGAGCCAGGCTTCCCAGCAGGGTTCTGAACCCTCTACAGCTTTGGCCACCTCTGCCTGGGGAAGGCAGAGCAGCCCTCAGCGGGGCTCTGTACCCTCCTCCGTGGGACTCCAAAATAGCCCCCATGCCAGGTTCCCCAATCAGCCCCGCTGATGAAGCCAGCCCGAGCCGGGCTGCTCGCATCTCCTCGCTCACTCCCTCTCTGTTCATTCACAGCAATTACACAGCCTTGTTGGGAGTGTGGATCTATGGCTTTTTCGTGTTGATGCTGTTGCTTCTGGACCTTCTGTATTACTCGGCAATGAACTACGACATCTGCAAGGTCTACCTGGCACGGTGGGGCATCCAAGGACGGTGGATGAAACAGGACCCCCGGCGGTGGGGGAACCCTGCTCGGGCCCCTCGGCCGGGGCAGCGGGCCCCACAGCCGCAGCCTCCCCCAGGCCCACTGCCGCAAGCCCCCCAGGCCGTGCACACGCTTCGGGGAGACGCCCACAGCCCACCGCTGATGACCTTCCAGAGTTCGTCTGCCTGGTAAGTGGCTGCCATTGAGGCCCGGGCTGGTTTGGGTCATCGTCTTTGGAGAGCTTGGAAAATCCGCCTTCATTCTCGCCATCGTGGGAATGATCTGGCTCATTGGAATGATTTGGTGGTTTGGTCACCCAATTGTTTGCGTATCTTGTTGTTTGAAACTGTCGTGTTAGCCTAGAACGTGTGCCTGGACGGGAAAGGCAACATGAGAGGTGGAAACAGAGCTCATAAGGAAAGCTTGCAAGCTCATCGCGCTTAGAGCCCAGCACGAGAGACTAAACATTAAGTGGAGTTTTGCGTTTCCTAGCTGCCAAGGCAAAAGGGGAAACTGGATGGCTTTCTAAGTTGTAAATCTGGCCAAAGGAAGCAAATCGGTCTGCCCAGGCAGATTTTTCAGCGTGAGGTTAGAAAATACAATGTTACTTGGTTCCTTATATGTACATGCCTGTGTGGCATGAGGGGTGCTAGTGCTGACTCAGGCAGGCTGTTCAGGAAGGAAGGAAGCCGGCCAGGTGGCATCTCAGGGGTTGGCCTTGTGGGATGGCTGCTCAGGGTTATGTTCAGATCTGAGCTTATCTACTGCAGTTCCTATTTCCGCCCAGTTCTAGTGTGGTGGGGGCAAGCCTGACCTGACCCCAGGTAGCCCTGGGCAGTGTGGCATCTAGAGTTGGAAGGAGAGAGGCGGGGTCTGGCATTTGGAGCAGGAACTCCCCGGGAGGCTGGTAGTACCAAGGACAGGAGACAGACTGAGGGTCGATTCCCAGGTCAAGGGGTAGAGTGAGACGTTCAGGCGCCCTATCGGGGCTGAGCTGCAGCCATGGGCACACGTGGCTCAGGGCACATCACACAGGGACATCATGATATCAAGCCCCAGCTGCAAGATCCATCCAGAGCCCTCCTGCTGCGGGGGTGTGTAGGAGTTTGCCACACAGTGACCCCTGAGTTCAAGTCCGGGAGCTTTGCAGGCAACCTGACCTGGGTCTGAGTCCTGGCTCTGCCATTACCTGCTCCTTGACTTCAGGCATGAGATTTCACCTTCTTAACCTGATCCTCATGAAAAAGGAGAGGGTAAGACTACCCCCTTCCAAGGGTTAGCTGCGCGCCTACCTGGCACGTAGTAGGTGCTCATTTAACCCTTGATTCCTCCTCTTTGGAGGCAGCAACCAAATGAATTAGCGTTCGTTCACATAGCTAGCAGGTAGTGACCTTTTCAATAATGAGTGCCTTAAATAATTAATAAGATATGCATAAATCAGCTTGTGCTTATCGATCGAATAATGACGCCATCTATTACACAGGAGACAAAGACACAGCCCTGTGTGGCTCAGTTTGACAAATGCTGGCTGAGTGGGTCCTTGGGCAGGGGTCTGTGCCAGGTTCTGGGGGATGTGGAGGTGATGAGTAGAGAAGCCAGCCTCCACCCTTGAGCAGTGGGGACTTCAGAGAGCTACAGGCAATGAAATGTCTGTTGGCAGGACCCCACAGTGGGGTGTTCTGAAATTCGAGTCCCTTGCAACAGACACACCTGGGGGGTTTGTCAAACTGAAGACCCAGAGCCCACGGACCAGGCATCTCTGCGGGGGATGCCTGTGGGCAGGACAGCTCGGGAAGCACTGGAAAATGTCTATAATAACCAAGCTTTCTGATAGCTGAGAATCTTCTGTTTAAAACGTTGGTCCTCCTCCACTCCCACACCTTTTGCATGCACGTGCATTTGTAAGAAATAGCTTGCACCTCCCTGAACACTTGCCAAGAGGATGGGGGATGTTGTTAGCGCCCTGTGCTCAGCACCTGGGGGCTGTCTGCCTGCCCCGGCCTCCAGGTGCTCCATTTCCTGCATCACTGTACCTGCTACTAACAGCCCCCAAGTCTCGCCCTGCCCAGAACCCTTTGTGTGTCCCAGCAGCGGTTCCCACCCCGCCCCTGTTCCTTATTGCTTTTCATCAAGCACACATTGCACACCTGCTATGTGCCAGGCACAGTGCTGTGCCATCAGGATGCAGAGAGCTTGCCAGGCTTGCAGGGATGGTGCACAGTGCCTGGGTGCGCGGCTGAGCTCCAAGTCCAGGTGGGACATGTTTCCTTTCGGAGCTCAGAGGCTCCTGACTGTCCTGAGCACAGTCTCGGGAAGGTGTTCCATCACCATGTGAGCGTGAAAAAGGGTCTTCAGAACCCACAAGGATATGGTACAGGATAAGGAATAGCCCGTCCCTGGCTGGATTCACAGGCACTGCCCCGCTCCCGCTGTGATCTTTGATGTGCAGTGTGACTCTGGGCGAGGAGCTTCCTTTCGGGTCTTCAGTTTTGCCAGTTGAGGAAGTGAAGTGAGAGGGGACTTGATTTGGAGATCAGGGAGGATCTTCCTTTTCTACCACTCCAAGGTTCTCCCAGCTGTCTGACCCACAACGTCTCCAGCATTACAGATCTTACTGTAAACTGACTAGGTCCCTGGCCCCAGGTGTCCCAGCCTCCATGTGGTGTCCCAGTCAGTGAAGCACCGCTTGGCATCCAGACAGGCACAACAAGCGCTCTCTGCGGCCCTCCTCAGTCACATCGGAGAATGTCCAGGCAAAGACTGTGGGCCACAGAGATTCCTTTTTTTTTTTTAGACTGAGTCTTGCTTTGTTGCCCAGGCTGGAATACAGTGGTGCGATCTTGGCTCACTACAACCTCTGCCTCCCAGGTTCAAGCAATTCTCTGCCTCAGCCTCCCAAGTAGCTGGGATTACAGGTGCCCCCCACCACACTCAGCTGATTTTTGGATTTTTAGTAGAGACAGGGTTTCACCATCTTGGCCAGGCTGGTCTTGAACTCCTGACCTCATGATCCACCCTTCTCGGCCTCCCAAAGTGCTGAGATTACAGGCGTGAGCCACCATGCCCAGCCTGGGAGACTCTTTAATGCTCATCAGTCCCTGGAAAGGCTTCTGTTCCCCTCACAGCCCTCTCAGGAGCCTCATGCTGAGCGTGACTGCTCCCCAAAACCTCTCTTTGCTTCTGCTTTTACCTCCGGAAGCCTCCTGTGAGCCCAGCCTCTGTGGCTTCTCTCCCTTTCTCCCCTGCTGGCCCCACCCCATCTCTGTCTCCTGTGGATGACTCCAGCTTCTCTAGCTTCTCAGGGCTCCCCATGCAGGAGCAGCAGGAGCAAGACAGCTGCAGACACACCCTCATCACCTGGGCTCCTGGAGTCTCCAAATGAGGCTCAGCCACTTCTGGGGAGGCTTAGTGGGACCCAAGCAGTGGATGGAGAGCAGCAAAGAGGGCACGGAGGCAGGAGGTCAAGGCACCAGGACAGCGCCAGGCAGGGCGACGCTGTGGGAGGTGGAGGCAAGGGGCAGCTGTGCCGGGGGCACCCAGGAGTCCCCTGCCCCTGCCTCCCACCGGGCTGCTATAGCAGTTCTGATGGGCACCCTGCAGTGGGAGGGCCCCAGCAGACACCAGAGCTGGGGCAGAGGAGTAAGCTGGGCGACTGCTGGGTCCACCCTCACGGCTCTCGGCTCCCCAGCTGGGGCCAGCACTGTCTCTCCTCTCAGAAACCTGTAGGGCTTGGTGAGTGAGGGGCCCAAGGCAGCCCCAGGCCACTGCTGAACAGCAGTATTGAAGGTCCTGGTGGCAGTGGCACAGCCCCACGCAGCCCCACCTCGGTCCCCATGGACACACACTCCATCAATCATAAGAAATGCGATTTTCCTGCCAGGTGGCCAGGCGAAGGCCAGGCACTGCCGAATCGCATGGCTAGGCAGCTGGGGCGTTGTGATGTCCCCCACCCCTGGGATTTATAACTGAGGTAGGGGCCGGCAGGGGCCGGCAGGGGTGCTAGGAGGGACACAGCTGTCACAAAGCTCAGCTCCTTTATTTAATTTCACAGAGAAGCCGGGCTTTCCTTCCACTTAGGAGATAATGAACTCGGACTGTGAAGTTTCTTGCTCAGATTCTCTGGACTCTGTCTTCTCTGGTGACCCCGACACTCCGCCCGTCATTTCCTCCTGAAAGCAGTCAGGACAACCGCTGAGGGCCCAGAGCCGAGCATGACCCAGCAGGGACTTAAGGGACACAGCCCCTGAGACAGGGTGTCCTTCACAGCTTGGAGGTCCTGGGTCTTCCTCCCAGGCATAGAGAGCCTCTCCAGGCCCCTTGGCCTCCTGGCACAGCTGCACACTCAGTTCACCATGAGGCAGGAGAGGGGCACTAACCCCTACACACACACACACACTCGCTCTCTCTCTCCGCCCCCCCCACACCCCGCCACCTGCATTCAGCCTGGCCAGGCCCTCCACCAATCCCAGACCGGACCTCACCATCTGAACTCCTGTCCTTGTCAGTGTGCAGCTTTCCCCACCAGAACCTCAGCCCGACTCAGGGTCCTGGCACGTAGTAGCTGCTCAGCAAATGTGTCCGAGGGATGCAGCAGGAGCATCAGCACTGGGGGTCCGGGACAGGGTCTGGGCTGAGCCCTCTGTCCATTTGGAGATCAGGAACCTGGTCTTCTCACATTGACAGCCCAGGTCTCACTTCTGCATGGCCAGAACCCACCTCGGGCTAAAGGAGCAGGCAGTGGAGGGGGCAGTGTGGGGAGCTGCTGTGCCCCGGGGTTAAGCCGGGCAGGGGGGTGTCACCACATTCCTGCCACATGCTGTGATCTCATCATCAGTACAGCTGTGGCCGGGGTCCTGGAAGCTGCCACTGTCATGGTCAACATGGTCATTGTTGCTGTCTCAAATCCAGGGCACAAGCATCAGCTCCCAGTCAGACACACCCTCCTGGCCCTGCCAGCGTGCCACAACCTGGCTGCCCCAAGCCTCCCCTGCCTGAGCCTTACTGTCCCCATCTGTAAATTGGGCAAGCCTGGCCTTGCAATGCAGTTGTGAGGACCTGATGGGGGGGGCAGGACACTCACCTGGGACTGCACCTCCCTCCCTCCACCGTGCATCAACATTCCCATCCCAGAGAGAGGCACTCAGGAGGCCCTGGAAAATGTCTGTAAGAGCCAGGCTTCTTGATAACT